TAACTTTCACATTGGATGCTCCAGGGTTGACGTTTAGCCTGCGACTAGGGTTTAGGGTTGGGGCTTGGAGTTATTTGCTTGTGTTGGCTGTTGGGGTTTAGGATTAGGGGTCAGCGTATAGTGTTTTGCTTAGGGAGAAAGAATTAGAGGTCATGGTTTAGGGTTAGGACTGTGTGTTTAGGGCTTAGAGTTAGTGTGTAGGGTTAGGGCAACTATTTCTCAACAACGCAAAGTACAGCTGCGTAATCCCTATAGCTTTTATTTTGCACACAACTACTTGATCTCGTCGCCTGCGCGTTCCCCAGTCCCATGTATGAAAACCACAATTACCACCGACTTGTGTTACAGGTAGATGGTATTTGTTTATTTTATTTAGGGCGACATAACCACATGTAACCAAAATATCAACCCAAAATATGCAAATACTTCTCAATCAAATTTCGGCCTCGACATTGAATGACTCAGACCACGTACTGTACATGGGCACATTAGTATACACTCGCCGTAACTCCAAAAATCGTCCTCAGATGATCACGCGGATTACACATGTGGTTGTATAAAGCATGGTACATCATGAGTCGCATGCATGCGTGCGTGGGTGAATCAATTAATGACTAGTTTAAGCATGTGTGTAACTATACAGCAAGGCGAGGTAATTAAATAAACATGTTTTTATGCTACATTTTTAAGTCTGCGCATGCGTGCGAAATTTCCCCTTAGGTTGCCTAGGGTAGGAACGATGGAAACGTCGAGTGCCATATTCATCAAGAAAACGGCTCCAATTACAGTATCGCAGTTCTTACAAACGCTTGACTAAGGTGGTTAGATATGTTTTGGGAGACAGCATATTAATGCCTGTTAATATTGATCAAAGTGGCGTCAATTATTCGAGCCGAAATGATGCCCACTTGCGTGTGAACTGAGAACATTACTGTGACTCCTCCATTACTTGCGTAACTGACTGAGTCTTGACCGCGACTACAATTTCCAAAAGTTCCGTGCCATTTTGGATTATATTTATAGACATTTCGCCAAATCCTTTGGAAAAATAAATGATGCCATGTGAAATACTGGAACAGTGTGGGTCACAGTAACGGTGCCAATATAACAAGGTCTTCAAGTCAGTTGTTCACAAAAACATTAGCAGGGCGTTTGCGCGTATATTAAATAATAAATATCGATCCATTATCCCAACTAAACTTTTGACAGTGCAAAATGCTAATAACAGTAATATCTCCGCATGCTCAAATGAACTATGTTTTTTTGGTGCACCCAACCCCATCCAAGATATTTATTCAATTTTTCTAATCCGACTTTGCCTATAGCAACCACAACAATTTACTCACAATGACCATTGTTTGCACCTAGCCTACAGCCATTTAAGTTGTCAGAGGAATGTACATTGATATTTGGGAAAAAAAAATATCATACAGACTGCAAATATACATTAAAAGCAACATTATAACAGCTGAGTGTCACTGGTGGCAGTCTCTGGATTGAGTATCCAAAATGGCTCGTTTCAGGTATATATAGAATTCCTTGGCATTCATACCTAGTAGCTTTAACATATCAACATTAGGGGATATGTAAGGACACATTGCCGTCTCTGTGAATACGCCACAAAGATCGATTGAGGACAATCGAATTATATTTGAGGGGTTATTTTCCTTTTCCCAGTAAGTGAAATCGACAATTGCCTTCAATGCAAGGCCAGTTAGATTAAACGATAAACGTCCGGTGTTACCCCAGAAGTAATCAAATTCATTCCACAGATGGGTCTATTTAAAAAAAAGAATGTGCAGTTTGTGAGTGCGATGTAGATGAAGGAAAACTGTGTAAAATAAAGCTAGTCATTTAAACATACCCCCGTCGATATATGTCTTATATGTTGATCTATATGAACCTTTGTTGCTCGAATCCGAGATAGGCACGTAAACTGCATGTAGTTTGCAGGCGATACGTCTCGCCAGAATGTGCACTCAAAACGTGAGGATGTTCGGTTAATTATTATCTTGAAGTCTATGCGTTTTGTCCCGATCTGTAGCGTGTCCTCAAAACGGAGGCGAAGCGCAGGTCGCTCGAAGAATTTTGCAACATCAGCCAGGATGATGTCGCCGTCCTTCCGGGGACATTTTGGCGTGTCTAATGATTAAATCGGTTACCGAAACTGCTACAGTCGAAATAGTATATGCGTATCTCTAATGAAACGACTGATGCACAGATAAAAACTCCTTCGTTTTGTAACCAACAAGTTATTGACAGTAAATACGGACAATTTAGGGACTTAAGCAAATTAAGATTACAAATTAAGGTATTTAAGATTTAAGATTTAATTATTTCAGATTTCAGAATTTGAATTCATCAGATACGTACGTATTCCTATGACAGGTAATACGCATAAAGTAAAAAGGTAAGCGACGACTTTAAACGTTTGTCTTACCATTTAAAACAAAACAACATTCCGCGTGCAGAAGCAGAAAAGTAACAGCAACATGTGATTTCATTCCTTTATCAAGCAAATGCGATCGCTTATCTCGTAAGCCCTTAAATATACGTTAACTAACAATATGTGAAGTCAGCGTGTTTCGCGGTCATTGGATAGGTGTTGGGACAGTCTGTGACTGGTGAAAAAGGACTGAGAATCTGCGTGTTGAAGTGTGCATTCAGACTCCAGAACCAGTGGTACAAATTCTGCATGACCCGCGGTGATGTATCCGATGACAATTAATAACCAGTTCCTATGTAATTACGATTCAATTCTACGTCGGGTTCGGCAAATCCCGATGGCCCATATATTTTGGCGAGTGTCGGTTCAGTGGGTCCTAGCGATTTCGCAATTTCTCTTTGTAGTTCGTCCTTTCCTGCGAGACGTTCCATCACTTTTTCCATTTTTTGTGCTTTGGTGGGTTTCACCCTTAGTGGCATATAAGGCAATTTATTTTCAAACAACGGCAGCATATTATCTTTGTATTTTGCCTTTTCTAATATTGCAGATAAGCCTCTTTTGTCTGCAGGAAAAATTACAATGATATTGACAGTGTTCAGGGTCTTAAATACCGTCGTTTACTGGCGCGAGAAAAGTGAAAAAAACAGTTTCGGTTCTTTAGAGCTTATACGGTGCCATTCTGGATTGTGAAAAATTTATTCATCCGTAAGATTTGCAGATGATATGATGTACTTCAGGCTTTCAAGGAAGTCTAGGTAGTTTGTATGGGAGAGATTGCATTTTATGCCCCTGGAAAGTACATCTTCTTCGGTTTTGCAATTTAATATTCTTAAAGTAGTAATAGTAGCAATAAAGTACTAGAAATATATGCTGAAGTATACTATGTCGTCCACGTCCACAGCTCAGGGCTTACAATATTTTCTCTCATAGGCTGGCGGGATATCGTGCAATGGTTCGATGACCCTTCAAGGCAGTCTGTACCGACATGACAACCAAGCGAACATAGAACGATTTAAATTGATCAGGTCACACTGATTTGCATCACTAAGCATACGCCAGTCTACAGACGGTGCTTCTTATTTTAGTTTAAACAACAGAGCATTAGACATCCCAGACTTGCGTCGTCTGTCCTGTGCGTCACTAAAATATTGGCCAAATTCAATTATGCCAGGGGCAGTAGGTAAGTGTTTCTGTGCATTTATGTAACTAACCAGACGTAGCGGATTTAAGGGACAGATCTTACAGATGCAGAAGGAAGGCGGCTGCACCCGGAACACTTCACACGATACACAGTTTTCGCAATAAGGACATATGCTATGTTTGTTCAGCCGTTGTAAACAGCTAATTCCACTGAGCGGTGGAAATGGATGATTTTCTCCATAGCCCGTGACTTATTCTCTTCACAGAGAAGTAGCAAGTTACCTACTTAATAAAAGCAAAGTTAGTGATTTGGTCTTGTTAGTCTCAGACTAATTTATCTGAAATATATGCTCACGATCGCAGGCATCCGGCAACTAGTCTGGACACTCGAATGGTCACGAAACAACAAAGCTACATATTGAAATCATTCTTAGATTTCTGGTTCACCGAATCGGAGAAAATGCACTCTAATGTCAGAGAAAACGCCAACAAGGTAAAAATCATGCGCCGCCGTCAAGGCAACAAGCCAGCTCTCAGGGACTCAGCTGCAGTCAAACTGCCAACAGTGGGTTTTGCCGACTTATTAAGGGGAAAAGACTAAGCAGCATCTTCACGAGGACATTAGGTGTATTGATTCGAAATGCCAGGCATCAGCTGATTGCCATTGTGTGACATCAGTGTATACATTATTTACAGGTGAAGTCCCCAAATGATCACAAAAATGTCAATAGATGTGCTGTAATGCGTTTTTGAGTGGGCAACATCATTGAGTCGTGTTTGCAATGCTGATTATAGTGTGGATTAATAGTTGTTAAATAACAGTAACAAGAACCACTTAACAGGAATGCGTTTAAACGCGAGACTCATAGACTTCGAAGCAACTATGAGCTGTGCATATTACAAAATTCCTTGGAGCATCATAAAATCCCCAATAGTTACATACGTAAGGGACAGAGCAATCGTGAACTGATTCCAGCGCTAAGATCCCAAAACGGAGTAATTGAGACGGATGACCACCCGAAAGCATCAGCCGGTATTCACTCATGACACAAACCCTCCTGCCATGCCATATGTAGACCAACGACAATATCCCTCCTTTCCTGCATTGGAAGACAATCTTTTCTTCTCACCCACGTTGATAAGGACCGAACTACGCCGGCGCATACCTGCCAAATTACCTGGTCCAGATGGAAATCATCCACTTGTCCTCCGAAAATTAGCTGATGTACTCTGTGAGCCGGTGTCCATGATATTTCGGAAGTCCATGGAAGAAGGCGAACTGCCGAGGGAGTGGAAAACGGCCCATATTTCTCCAATCTATAAAGGAGGATCCAGACTGGAACCCGAAAACTACCGTCCTATTAGTTTAACCTGCATTCTATGCAAGGTAATTCGTCATCGTGGGACCACGGATATGATCTTCGCAGCCAGCCAACTTCAGGAGAAGTGTCAGGAGATGCGGACCCACCTGTACTCTACCTTCGTGGACCTGACGAAAGCCTTCGACACGGTGAATCGTTTAGGACTGTGGAAGATCATGCAGAAATTCGGCTGTCCAGAGCGATTCACTCAGATGGTGCGTCAACTGCACGACGGTATGATGGCGCGAGTCACGGACAACGGAGCTGTCTCAGAGGCATTCGCAGTGACTAACGGAGTGAAACAGGGATGCGTGCTGGCACCAACCCTCTTCAGTCTTATGCTCTCTGCCATGCTGATGGACGCCTACCGCGACGAACGCCCCGGGATTCGCATCGCCTACAGGACGGACGTTCACCTGCTGAATCAACGGCGGATGCACTTCCAATCGCGCGTATCAACAACAACCGTTCACGAACTTCTCTTCGCCGACGACTGCGCCCTGAACACCACCTCAGAAGAGGAGATGCAATGGAGCATGGACCTGTTCTCCGCCGCCTGCGAGAACTTCGGTATGGTCATTAACACGCAGAAGGCAGTGGTGATGCACCAACCGCCACCCAACTCAGCCACAGCTCCCAACGCGTCGCCGCAAATCAGCGTGAATGGGATCCTACTGCAAGTAGTGGAGAACTTCCCGTACCTGGGCAGTACTCTATCCCGTACCACCAAGATTGATGACGAAGTCGCCAACAGGATCTCGAAAGCCAGTCAAGCCTTCGGTCGTCTCCAAAGCACAGTTTGGAATCGTCACGGTCCTCAACTGAACACGAAACTGAAGATGTACTAGGCCGTTATCCTGCCGACGCTACTGTACGGAGCAGAGACCTGGACGGTGTACACGAGGCAGGCACGCCGTCTGAAGCACTTCCACCTGAGTTGTCTTCGTCGCATCCTGCGGCTGAACTGGCAGGATCGCATCCCCGACACTGATGTGCTGGAACGAACGGGGATGCTCAGCATCTACTCCATGTTGAGACAAATGCAGCTGCGCTGGATCGGCCACCTAGTGTGCATGGACGACGAGCGGCTACCCAAACGACTCTTCTACGGAGACGTCGCGACGGGTTCTCGTCGTCAATGAGGCCCAATTCGTCGATACAAGGATACCCTGAAGTCCTCCCTGAAGCTAATGCAAATCAACCCGACCAACTGGGAAGAGCTTGCCTGCGATCGTCCGGCATGGAGGAGAACAATGAAGACGGGCTCTGCTATCCACGAAGCCAACCGCATCGCCAACGCCCAAGCGAAACGCGAAGCTTGCAAATCCCAACTGCGCCCAGTCAGCAACGCTGCCGCACAACTGCCTCCAACGTGTCCTCGATGTAAGCAGACATTCCGGGCTCGAATCGGCCTTGTTGGACATCTTCGGATCAACTGTACCTCTCGAACTGCACCAAACTTCATCCCCCCGCCCACGTCATCCTCGTCCTCTCTGCCGCCGAATAACTCTGTGAATTCTTCTGCACCACCACTTCCATCCCCCTCCTCCTCCTCCTCCTCTGCCTCCTCTGCCTCCTCCTCCTCCTCCTCCTCCTCCTCCTCCTCCTCCTCTTCCTCTTCCTCTTCCTCCTCCTCCTCCTCCTCCTCCATATCCTCATCCTAATCCTCCTCCTCTTTCTCCACCACCACCACCACCACCCCCACCACCACCAATGCCCCAAAGGCGGCCGCTCAGGCAGCCGTCTCGCACATCTCCGACAGCGACACAGCAACCGACACCATCCCCGCCTCTCCTGACTCCAGCAATGAGAATCAGGACTACACCTGCCCTCACTGCGATCGCACCTTCACCTCACGTATCGTCCTGGTCGGTCACTTGCGAATCCATCGCAGAGAGACCGGTAAACCAGTGCCTGAAGCACCAACCTACACCCACCTCACTCGCCTCCACTGCCCACACAGCCCTTGCACCTTCACGCATCGCATGGGTCTATTCGGCCACATACGCATCCACGAGAGCGGAATCTATCACAATTCCGACACACCAACCACGCCAATCATGCCCAGCACCACCCTCGCGCCGTCCATCTGCGCCACCACCAACGCCTCCTCTGTAGCTGATTCTGACACCGCCGACTTCACGTGCCCACACTGTCCACGCACATTCACCTCACACATCGGCCCGGTCGGTCACTTGCGAATCCATCGCACAGAGACCGGAGAACCAGTGCCTGGAGCACCAACCTACACCCACCAAGCTCGTCTCAACTTCCCACACTGCCCTCGCACTTTCAGGCACCGCATGGGCCTATTCGGCCGCATGCGCATCCACGATGACCTGCGGTAGACAACCGCCGGTTACACAACACATCCGCACACTCCCTACCCTCCTCCACCATCACCAACACACATCAACACTTACCCACCGTATGCACCAACTGCCACCTTCCACGCAAGTGGGAAGTGTGCATCTCGACTCGGTTCCCACGCGGCTTCGGCTGTACGGGTGATTTGAGTCCGAGACTATCCCGACACTGCAAGTGCCGTGGATAGGAAGGTTGCTGATTGACGCCCGCTCTCGGTTCACGCAGTTCGTCGCGTTGTGTGTGTGCTGTGTGGAGTGGCGGACTGGTGGGCTGGGAACGGGCTGAAGCAGCACCTTCCACGGCCCTCTCACGCAAGTGGGGAACACGCCGTTCAACCCTTGTTGTGTGAAATCCTGGTGGTTGTGTGTGTATGGGGGGCCAGGTCGTGCTGTGGCGCGTGCAGTCACGGTCAGTCGACCATGGCAGCCACCGCGCCCATCCACCACTCCGGTTTGCCGACCGGCTCGGACGGCGGCTGGGGTGTGGGAATGGGAAGGGAGAGTGAGGTCGACGACTCAGCGCACTTTTTCCTCATTATAATCAATCTGGCGCGCTTGAAGCTATCACGGTGCGCTAAAAGCCGTGACTTGGAAGGTTGCCAACTGACGGGGTAACTTGGACCTCCTCCTTAACGGGAGACGGTCTGAGAGTCAGGCTCAATGGCTCCTTTTTAATGTGGCCTTTATGGCACTTCCACCACATTGTGGGATCCGAGCCAGGCGTTGGCGGCACGCCTAGGAGCGGCTTCGGCCGTGCCAGCCTCCAAATCTCTGTTGTGTTGGTTGAAATCCTGGTTATTGTTGTGTGGACCAGGGAGTGTGGTGGAACGCCAAGGTGAGGATCCGTCCGAGATATCCAACTGTGGCCTCCCTCGTCACCGGTCTTCTTGACTCTGTCTTGTCACCGGGCTCGGGCGAGGGAGGTGGAGAGAGTGTAGGTAGATGCAGCGCAAGTCTACTGGCACTTTAAACCCATGCGCAAGTCGCCGTCCCTGCTCCAACCTGCTGTGGGGCACACGGTGGACATCATCAAAATCGATGGTCGAACTGTCATGCAAGGTAATGGACCGACGTATTAAAGGGCATTTAATATCGTATCTGGAGCAGAGGGACCTGTTATGTGCTGCTCAGCACGGATTTCGTCGTGGTCACTCCTGTCTTACAAGCAGTCTTTACTCTCAGGAAAAGTGGACATGAGCCATAGACCAGGGCCGTCCAGTGGACGTCATCTTCTTTGACTTTAAGAATGCGTTTGATAGCGTTCCTCATGGACGACTGCTACAGAGGATTTGGGAGTGTGGAATACAGGGCAGCATTTTTAATTGGATTAAAAGTTTCCTGCCATGCAGGCTCCAAAAATTCATCGTTGGTGCCACTACATCCGAATGGGTGCCAGTAAAAAGCGGCCTTCCGCAGGGCTAAATCTTGGGTTCTCTCCTCTTCCTCATCTATATAAATGACTGTCCTGCAGACCTTGAATGCGACGGCATCATGTTTGCGGATGACATAAATATCTGGAAAACAATCAGCTACGTTGAAGATGCGCAAAAGCTACAGGAAGATGTTAATAAGCTGGCTGCGTGGTCCAGCAAGTGGCTTCTAGCGTTTAACGTATCCAAGTGTGTAGTCTTGCGACTAGAATCTGGACGGAGGCGCTTCCCAAAACATCAGTACACCATAAATGGGGTTCCACTAAATGTAGTGGACACGCACAATGACCTAGGTGTCTGGATATGCTCAAACTTGCTGCCCTCTCAACACTGCAAAAGAGTCGTCATAAAGGCAACCAGCATTATGCACTGGATTAGGCGTGATTTCAAAATCTTTCCTTCAGAACTCTTCTCACAGATATTCGACACATTCGTCAGACCGCACTTGGAATACGGAATACCATCATGAATGCCCTGGATGAAGAAAGAGAGTGATGCTATAGAGCATGTGCAACGACGGGCCACAAAACTGGTGGACGGTCTCAGGATTCTGTCATACCCAGAAAGACTGATCCAGTTAAATTTTTTCCCCTATCATATAGAAGAATGAGGTGTGACCTGTTATGGACATTCCACATTACCTACGGGCATGAATGTTCGCTCAAAACTGACGACTTCTTTGAATTCACGACCACGAGTCACCTGCGAGGTCACCCTTACAAAGTCAAGCGGGAGCGTACATGCCTAGACAATCGGAAGTTTTCCTTCAGCCAGCGTGTTGTTCGACCATGGCACTCACTCCCAAGTTAAATTTTGACATCTGATACAATCGCTGAATTCGAAAGGTAGCTGGATCGTTTGATATTTAATAAACGACGACTTTCACAACAGGACTATCTGCGGCCAGCCATAAATTTCATTTCTTGATTTCATCCCTACGTAACACATCCCTGACTCTTAAGGAGATGCCCCCTCTCAAACTATGCAAATGATTGCACTTTATGCTGATTGTATATAACTGCACTTACAATTTCATGTGTACACTAAGAAGACCGCCAGCCGCACCCTTTGCAGTCCCGCATTGTGAACGTTCTCCGTGAACAAATATGTTACTGACAAATGTTTAGTAAGATGTACATTTAACATTTATATTTTATGTACCGTTTTCAATAGGGTCATCAAGGACATTGCCTATTACTCTAAAATACACTACACACTACATTTTTGGATTAATCTACAATGACATTACACATTAAAATGCAATCAATAGAAATCGGACATGAAAAAATATTATGCAATTTAAGCAGGAAACAACGTTTGTGATCGTGCAGCTTTCATTGTGTCGAGTTTGTTGGGACTTATGCGATCTATAAAATTACCCCACATCCGTACGTTTAGAGATGCTATAAATGGGGCATACGACAAACTCAATTCAAATAGTCTTTTGGTTCTTTCTGGTGTTTTTATAATGGTACAAATAAGTGTAAGTCTACATATATAATATCTGCTCTCCTGTTCGCATTTAATAGCAAAATCACATCTCCAGTTTTTATGCTTAAAATTTGTCGCCTTACAATTTCCGATAAATTATCCTGAAGTCCATCCCTCAAATACGTCATACTACTAACTGAAACAAGCGCAACCCGCAAACTATATTCCACATCCTCGACTCAGACAGCGTGAGGTTCTCTACTTCCCTCAGGTAGCAAGAACTTGTGCTAATTTGTGACACCACCTTAAAGTCGAACGAGAGCAGTTTGCACAGATTTGACAGTTAGGCCAACCTTGAGCCATGTCAACTCATAAAGCTACACACTTACATCTCCACATGTCCTAGCCTCCTCCGGATCACCCAACATAACGTCATAAAAACTAGACTCGCGACGTCTGTCCTGCATTCCAATGCAGTCTGCGTGGTACACCAGTTTCTTCTGGTGACAGGAAGAAGTGTTAGAGCCGAAAGAAGAAAACGCCATCGAAACGTGGATTTCACGACTTCCACGTATGCATAAATAATCCATATGCCCTAATATAGTGCTCGGAGGTATAACAATTATACTCGGCTCCCGTTTCGCAATTTGTTTCGCATTTTGTTTGGGGTTGGTACGCTGTAGATTTTCCAGATGTAAGCGTACTTTGGGCATTGCAAGCAAACTAGGCCAAATGAGGATGCTTAAATTGTTGGCTGGAAATAAACCAAAGGTAAAACAGTAAAAGGCTCCCTGAATTTTGATTGAAAGATGGAGTTGTTTTTGCTGCTTTCGTAAGAGTCGGGTTGAACATTTACTTTAAGGTTTCGGTTTCTGTTAAGTTAAATGGTTCCGGTTATAGTTAGGGGTTGGATAACGGTATTATCTGATGCGCAGCATGGGTTTCGTAGTGGCAGGTCTGCGTGACTAACTTGCTCAACTGCTTGGAACGTTGGACTCGGTCAGTTTATGAAGGCAATGCACTGCATGTAGTCTGCGTCGACTTTAAAAAGGCATTTGGCAGTTTCCCACATCAGCGACTCCTCCAAAAACTGAGCCGAACAGGCGTTAGGGGTAACCTCTTAAAATGGATTCAAAGATTTCTATTTGTCCATTATCAAATTGCCCATGTCTGTGGCAAGCAGTCGGCGGAGGTTGCCGTTGAAAGCGGTGTTCCCCAAGGCTCAGTTCTTTGTCCTACTTTAATCATCATTTACGTCAACGATTGCGTGAATGAAGTAGATTGTGGTATCGCCATGGTCGCGGATGACATTAAGCTCTGGAGCGTCATTCGAACTGCAGATGACGAAGAGCATCTGCAGGCGAACCTAAACCGACTCCAACTGTGGTCAAAGGACTCGCTTCGACAGTTCAATAAGAAAAAATGCAATATTCTACG